TCTCCTCCCCAGCGGACATGGTAGATTTGTCTTTTTGCCCGCACAGATGAAGCTCTGCTGGTTAGAATACTAGTGGTATACAAAAAAGTGAATTTGGTGCTTGTACCTGTCAGAGACGGAATGAAGACATTATTTCCATTAAAAAATTGAAAAAAACCCATTAACCTCACATTTCTGCCTCAGCTCCCAAATTAAGCCTTTTGGGAGGAGGGGGGCTTCTGCTGGCATAGGAACCCTGAAACCTGAGGCCAAAATCCTGACACACAGCACACAAGTACAACCCAGCAACTGAAGATAAGAGATTTGACTCCAGCAGTGATGCAGGAAGAGTATAACAGTTACAGAGTAACTGTTATCTAGCCTGTCCTTACATATTAATAGAATGGGAAGAGCCTACCTATCTAACAACAAACAGGAAGAAAATGAAAGGCAGAACTTCACTGCTTCTTGAACAGGCACCACTATTGCTATCTACATAGTTCTAATAGTTTCTGTTGCACTGGTCTATTGAGACACGTTTTAGAAATACTCATTTCCTAGCTGACGTCACTAAAAATGAAGTCAATAACCCCCAATGGATCACAGCACAAAGATATTGCATGTGCTAGAATAACCTTTTTCAGTTTTTGATCATCAGAAACAGAAACCAGGTCCCAACATATTGCCTGAGCTACGTCTTAAATTGAAAGATAGAGTCTCAAGCGGTACACAACAAAGTGGATTTAGTTGTAATGCCATAACTCTAGCAGCATTTTCATGACCAGTTTCCACTCATCTATCATAACAAATTCCCCTTGCTTAGGGGTAAGGAGTCTGGTCAGGTCCTCTGTAAGAATATCTTTAAAAGGTTACAGCTGTTGCCTAAAGTCATACTAGTTCACCAGGGGCCAGCCTTCCCTCCAAGGCAACATTTAACAAATAGCACAGCATGACTGCTGGAATGGCTCTGTGTTTTGAGAGACATATCTCATTCAAAAGATGGTGTAAGTGGAAGATCTTTTTGACTACATAACCAAAAATGATGGCCTGAAACTGTCAGGAGTGTCAGTCTACTCACAAAATGCTCATCAGTACAAATAATTATACATAATAATGAGAAATTGAGTTTCTAACATTTTTAAAGCATTTTTACAACTCTGATATAGCACAAGAGATATAGGACTTTTTCTCTAGAATTCTCAATAAGCAGTCTTAAACAAAATAAGACCTACAGCAACAAGCTACAACATGGAAATACTGGGTCAGAATTTGAACATAATCTTTAATGTTTTATCAACAGACTTTGTGTGAGCAAGATTTTTTTTTTCTTTTCCTGAAGCTGATAAACTTCTTTTAATGCATGGGCGCTGACTTTCAAGCTGTACATGGAGCCCTCTTCTGGAGAAATTTGAAAAAATAAAAGCTTAAGAATTCAGCAGTGTGGGCTATGCATTTGGAGAAAGAATTTTGGGACTAATTCATCTATTCACTATAATGATAAGCTTGTGAAATATATACTTTGTTCCAACTGACTTAGTTACAACCCAGTGGAACATGAGAGTTATTGTTAAAGCTATCAAAAGAATTTTTTTCCTCATCTTGTAAGATTTACTTATAAATTTTATGTTGATTCTTCTGTCTGCATCAAATGCATAACATACAAAAGCAAAGCTGTGAACAACTTCTGTTTTAAAACAAATATTTTATATAGGCCTTCAAAAATATCCTTCGGTAAAAAATGTAAAAACCACTCTGATTTGATAGATTTAAAAATCTGTATGTATTTACTGATTACTGTACACTGTATAGTGAACTGCACAAGCTACCAGAGTACACTTAGTTTTTATTCTCAGCTTCAGATCAATAAAGCTGTAAAGTATAGATATGCTTTGTGGTTTTGAAGGTGGTCCTGAATTAAAGAATTACTTGAAACGTATCTTCCTCAGCTATTCTAGCTATCGTTCAGTTTTCCTCTTGGTGAAAACAGGACAAACAGTTGGTAGTCGTGTAGACTAAATCTTTGCAAAAGAAAAAAATTCATTTATTGCCCACCTGTTTATCACAACTTTTAAAAACATAATTAATGGGCTGAAAAAGCAATTCTTCATCCTTTTAATGCCTCAAAAGGCATTTTTTTTATATTTAACAAATGCAGTTGAATTAGATGCACACCAAGGAAACACAAAACCAAAGTTAGCAGTTTTATAAGTGATCTTAATTAAAAATAAACCTTTTTTTCAGTTCATGAAGAATTTCCTCAAACTTTTTCTCTACACTGTTAACTTTGCTATCATTACTTTGAAATGAAGTTATTCCTATCTTCTACTTCCACAGAAAGTATTGCATTACTAGATTGCTATTGCTTGGAAATCATTTTATCAAAATTGAGCTTTGCAGGTTCCACTAGCATTGTATTATAGGAGGCATTATTGCTACTGCTAAGGGAGAAAAAAGAAAACTTATGAAAAAAATCCCAGAATGCGTTACAACCACTACACAGCCAGATGGCTGCATTTGTTTAATATGTTGTTTCTCACATTCTTCTGTTTACTTTTCCTGTCACATGAAAGTTGTGTATGTGGTGTGTCAAAGAGAAAAGCCAAAGAGCATTTCAGTAATTCCCTTTTTCTTCCCTAGCATGCTATCACCTTCAGTTCATACTTTAACCTGCCAATATTCAACACCCTATGCCTGAAGACAGATTTATGTACACTTCCTTATTATAGCTTAATTCATTCCCCAATTCATTAACTCTTAGACATGATCTATAAAGTATACTTGGAGATGCGTTAAATCACTAGGTAGAGACATTGCCAGATAAAGCTACATATGCTAATAAAGAAGGTGGGGTGCAGTTTAAGCACTTAAATACAAAGCAATGCTAAAGCACGACAAGCTCAGCCCTGCAGTATATTCAAACTCATCTCAGCCCAGCAAGAGAAGAAACTCTGAAGTATTGCTGAAAGTTATCAATAAAGTGCACAGTTGTTTTCAGAAGCAGGTGTCCTGCACCTTGTCAGATTTTAAGTAGTTACTGATGTTAAAAAAAACACCAGCTATGTGGTTTAACAGGCCTTAGAAGTCTGTCCTCCTCTCTCATATACATACTGCTTTTCCTACAAGGGACCACTAAAGAAAATCCAAACTCAAGCTGATTAATTTAGTAGTGTGCTGAAGAAGATGGACAAAAAAAAGGACTGAAAGCACAGAGAAAGCCAAGCGAACTGCAGTCCAGATGGCAGGTCTCAAGCCCAAAGTGAGAGAACACCAGCTCAGTATATCCACAGGTTACCCTTACACTGTCTGTGCCCTCTCCCCCCACCCCTCTGCTCTCTGAGCATTGCCTCCCACTGGCAGCTTTGCCAGCCCAGCTGCCTGCCCAGGCTGGATCTCAGCCCACTTTGACAACTTCTCCTCTCCAGGAGCCCTTTGGGTATCCCCAGCCCACCAGAGAGCCATTCAGTCCTCCCCAGGAGCAGCAGCTTGCCCACTCGTTACAGCCAGTCTCAGCAGAGCTGGTGAGCTGCCCAGTGGCCAGCTGCCCACTGGCCAGCCCTTCTACACAGTCCAGAGCTTCAGCCCGAGCTGTTAGGGAAGCCCTGCAAGAAACTGTGTTTATCCCCAGCACATGCTGCTCTGGATCCTCAAACTCATCCTTCACCAGTGCATTCAGGCACCCTACCTATGGCCCAAAGCAGCTGCTTTCATTTGTTATACTCCCTGAAGCAGGATTGTTATCCTGAACCCACCCAAATGCCTGTGTGTTTGCTCACACGAGTCCCCAGTCACCGAGTCTCCTATTGTCCCATAACTTCAGCCACCCATGCTAATGCTTTTACTCTTTATCAGGGTAAGCCAGGACCCAAATATCCTAGCCTTGATCCACAGCATATATGCATTCAGTTCACCCTACTGCTTCCTACTTACGCAGTCTTGATGTATCTCCTCTCAGCAATAAAACTCTCCCAACAGTGATCCCTCACCATTTTTCTCCTTATCCTCCTATTTTGAAAAAGCAGACTAAATGCCTGCTGGAGATTGCAATTACACAAACACGAGTGCACAGACTCAGCGTCCCAAGCACTAGTTTGACGCTCTAAAACCTACCAACCCCCTAAGGGTTAACAAAACCACTCGATCGCAAGTCAAAAAGGAATTAACTTTTATCTCCACTCAGTGCACAGGATGCCAGTGCCACTGTCACTAAATGCAAGAGTTTACAGAGCTCCTAAGACAAAAGAAGGAAGGATGCATTTAAGCTGGACAACAACAAAGGATTTTAAAACCTCCCCAGAGCTTCCAAAAAGTGAGCCCTGTAACAGCAGCAAGAGGAAGAGAGAGCAACCAGAAGGTATTAGAAGTCAAAGCCCAGCAAGTCCCTTCGCTTTGACAGACAGCGGCAGCAGGGCTTTAGCACCTCCGTGTTTTTAAGGCTGGGTGTTTTTTCCTCTGCTTTCTGGCAGAGGGGGATCTATTACATTTAATAAGAGAAAGGCTACATAGCAAGTCACTAACAGAGTATTACACATCTATCAAGAGAGTACAGGGAAGGGAACCTTTTGCAAGGTCTGATTTTATTTTCCTCCATATTCCCCCCCCCCTTTTTTTTTTAAAAAGGCAGTAAATAATGTGAGCTGCCTATAACAACCTATAAGCCTACTACCCGACAAAAGCCACAGAGGAAAGAGGCAAATCAAAGTTGCAGCATTTGATATGACAGAAAATACTGCTGCTGCAGCTGCTACCAAAACACTTGAAAGATTCCCCCTACTACCCTTCCTGAAGAGAAACACAACAAATTTATTGTGTGATATATAGCATTTTTTAATTGTAAATCAAGGAACTATGAGATTCTACATTCCTAGCAACTGACTTACAGCAGAGATCTTGCATCTTTCAACAGTAATTCAAGCAATGTATAATTACTCAGAAATCAGACCTGAATTACAAATACTTTCAAATCCAAATGCACAAGAGAAGGAAGGTGAAAGAAAATAAGAAAAAAACCACACATTTCTTACCTGGGACAGCAGAAAGGACAGAGTAAGTTGAGTTTTGTGCTGCATTTTGCCAGACTAGAAGGTACCAGAGGCTTTTTCATTCATGCACTCGGCTGCACTGAGCATATTTTCACTGTGAAACAGCCTTTGAGAAGAGACTCTGCCTTGAGAGCCAGCCAACTTCCCAAATAGATCAGCAGCATCATCACTAAAGCATTGGATAGAGTCTGATGACCAGAACCAATGGCTTTACAAGGATGATTTCTTCACAAAGCATCCCCATTTTGCATCACACATATTGGGCAAGTACCTCTCACAAACACAGCACCTTTAGAAAGCATTTTGCTTTCGTGTATTTGTGTGTTTAGTTTCAGTCTAACAAATCATGCCTTACAGATCTCAGTAGTATTTTCCCTTTTACAGAATGGAATTGCACAGAGAAATAAGAGCAACTCTGAGCACCGCTGCAAAGAGATTCTCTTTATTAAAATGTTAATAAGGTATGCTTTATTTTCAATAAATCAAAAAAATGACCACTGCAGTTTTAGTTACTTCCAAGCCTTAGATAAAGAACACAATGAAATTTTTCAGTGCAGCAGAAATACAGATTATATTTTGTGTTTTCCCCTCAATCTCACAAATCGCAACGAAGACAGATCAATTCTAGCCTGCAGAAAAAAATCCATCATAAGGCAATAGATTTTATTAACTGCTCAGGTAGTGACAGAACTGGCTTTTGATTCAATGAACTTGAATCTAGGACAAAGTTTCAAAGGTGCATACCCTTCAATTACAAAAACTTTTCCTGTTTGGAGGAGGGGACCTGATGTTTCAAGAACCTGCTATCTCTGGACTGGTTACGTTGCAACCCAGCAAGTAATACCAGGCAGATGGACCAAAGATTATGAACAAATTCCCGCATTTGAATTTCCAGCTCCACCTCCCTTGCCACTCCCCATTATCACAACAGTCCAGTCCTTTTTTGACTTGTCTTCTTGCAGTTGTCAGGGTTATTTAGCAGTACCCTTCCCCCATTTTCAGTAGGGTCAAAAGTCTCCTCAGCTCTCATGCCTGATGCTTTTCTCTTGCTTGCTCATCCAGCAGAGTCAGCTACCACCAATTTCTGCTCTGCCCCACCACAGGTGCCTGCTGCACCAGCAGAGACAAGCAGAGACATGGGGAGAGGAAGACAGGTAGGCAGATGGGAAGGGATACACATTCGAAGGAGCTACCAACCACTTTGGGTTCCTCAGCAGGAGCTTCCTGCCATAAATAATGTTGTTTGATAGCTTCCCCAACCACTGCTAGCCCACTGCTCACAGCTCACATCCTCCTTTACTTAAACACTGGACTAAAACTGAGGGAAAACACTGTCCTTCCAAGTCTAAGCCCTCACATACAGCAACAACTCTGCTCCAGTACCTTCATCACACATGATATATAAATTAATACTCAAGCTG